GGAGTGATTCATATATGAATTGAACAAGTTGTTAATTATTTCAATGCTCTGAGAGCCTGAAGATTCTTAATACGCATGATGCTTTTGGTTTTATTTAAATTTTTATTTATTGTATGTGGACTAAAATATGTTTAATCTTTATTAATTAGACTTGTCCGAATTATGTCGGCACAATTTTAAATGCTTGTTTTATATTTTATAAAAATCAGAGCCCTAGGGAATTTTAGGGTTTGAGACAAGTTGAATTTACTCATTGAATCTTAGAAAATTTCCGAGCCGAACGTGGATCGTACACTTGTTATCAAATTTCACTCCGACTGTTCCTCGTGACTTCGTCCAGGGTGAAGCAAGAAATTTGGTATAGTGGGTAGATCATCAATAAATATTAAGTTACTTTCAGTATTTAGCTCTCAACTTACTTCCAATGTGGTTGGTTACTAATAAGATCTCTTTGATTCCACTTCGTTTGAATGTGGTATTTTCTTATAACCCTTGTAAGATTAAAGCCAATCTTCTTGTTGTAATCCATAAGTGTGAAGTCTTATTGATTTTTTCCTGGTACTAGGAACAATTTAGTGTGTAGGAGAGGGAAAAAGGGAGACATGCTCATCACCCCCTCGCACCAATTTATCTCGTGTTGTTCGGTAATTTCTACCAGGATAAGTCAACTTCTTCATCACCAAACTTGGAAGGTAGTATCAGATTTACTTATGTAAAAATGGGCTTTATATGTTGATCTGATTGTTGTGAATGATTTAATTTCAAATCGACTCCTTAAATTTATTATTTTTTGCAAAATTCTTGTTTCTTAATGATAATCATCCTTTAGAAGCAGTGATTTTCTTGACAACATCTGACTTTTTTGATGTGGCTGTTTATGGTTTTTCCCTTGCCTTTAAAACTGTCCGTCCCTCAAGTTTAATCGGTGAAACACCTGGAGGGGGTAGTTGTCCCCACTAGACCCCAGGTGGCTCCGCCCCCGAGTACCTTATTTATGCTGGCTAGTCAACTGCATATGTAAAAAAATTGTCCAGACGAAACATCTCTGGTATTTATGCCCACTCGTAAATCTGCAAGTGGTCTCAATTCCCTAACTCTTCACTCGTAATCCGAAAATATTTGTAGTTTATGACTTAGAATATCGATGAATTTTGAAAAAGAGAGCTGAGGGGTTGAAAGAAATGTATAACTAGTTTTCTTAGGATGCTGTGGAAATCCTTGATTGGTATTCTACAACCTTTATTGCTAAAAACAAGAAAAACTCGGGCTTTCTACTAACTGAGTAAGTTCTATGATCAATTCGAGTTGTTTCGTCGTCGTTACATAAAATACATTCACACGGCAAGTGTACATATTGCGTGTGTTGTACACGCAAGATGTGATATCATGCATATAAGGACATTGATTTATGAATTTTTTTATTTTTTATTTTTTGTGTTGAGTCACTTGAGTACTGATAACTCATAATTAGCTTAGTTTTTCTAGTCTGCATAAGTTTCAATGAATGATAGATTTGTAGAAATGTTAATTTTCATGGCCGCATTAAGGTTTAGGGGAGAAGAGATCCGAGGGGTTGAAACAAATGTATAACTAATGTTCTTAGGATGCCGTGAAAATTCTTGATTAGTATTCTTCAATCTTTATTGCCATAAAAAAATAAAAAATAACAGCTAATGCTTTCTACTTACTGGGTAGGTTCTATGGTCAATTCACGTTGTTTCTTTGTTTTCACATAAAAGACATTCACATGGAGATTCTACACATTGTGAGTGTATTGTACACGCAAGTTGTGATATCAAGCATATGAGGACATTTATTTATGAGGGTTTTTTGTTATTGAGTCACTCGAGTACTCAGCACTCATAATCAGCCTAGATTTTTTAGTTTGCCTAAGTTTTAGTGATCAATAGATTTGGAGTGATGTTAATTTTCATGGCCACATTAAGCTTTAGGGGAAATGAATTGAACAAGTTTTTAATTTTGTTCTCACTTTGAACATTCTTTATTTAGATGCTGCTCTTGGTTTTATTGCAATTTTCATTTCATATATGCCAAGAATTAAGTGTTTTGAATCTTAATTTATTAGATTTGTCCAATGTTTGAAAAAGCTCTATCAAATACCAAGACGTTTTACCTCTATGAGGCAAGATGTAAACCTCAAGGCATCTTGAGTCATAAACATCAAAAGAAACCAATAAATAAATAAAATACAAAAAATATGTTCATAACAGAACTTAAACCAACTTAGAAATTCATGATAAAACAAATTAAAAGTTTAGCTTACAAACAAACATAGAATAGTATCGTTCTCCATTTAATGATGCTTTCTCTCTCCACTCTCTGTAAAATGTTGTAGGCTTTATAACTAATAACTCAAAAAGTTTAGGCCAATAATAAAAAAACCGAAAGAAGGCACAACAAACAAGCATGCGCCTTAGCTACCCTAAGCTTAGCCTTGGCAATTAAGGCGTAAGCTTCGAGGGTTTCGATACTTCAGGTTCAAGATGCAAGCCTCAAACAAGTTTTGAAATAATGGATTTGTCCAAATTGTGTCTTGATACAATGAAAAATTCTATCTCTAGATCTTATTAGAGTTCAAAGCCCAACTGAATTTAAGGTTTTAGACAAGGCGATTTAATATTTTATGTCCTATAATTTTAAGTATTTGGAGTCCAACTTCAGAAAGGAATGACAGATCAGGCACTATTATCAAATTCTACTCCCATCATTCCTACTAGCTTTGCCATCCGGCATGATGTATGTTGTCTAGTAAACTATATATTTAAAGAAGTTCAACCACATCTCTGGAATTTATTTTTTTGCTAAACCAACACATGATCTCAATTCTTGATCCTTCACCCATTATCCAAAAAAAATATTTGTAGTTGGTGACTTGGAATATTGATGATTGATGAATTTAGGAAATCTGAGTTGGGGGTTGAGGATTGAAGTGAATGCTTAGAAATATTGTTAGAATACGGTAGAAATTCTTCGTTGGTCTTATTCAAGCTTTATTGCCATACGTGAGAACAAACAACTAATGCTTTTTAACTTATTTAACTGGGTTCTATGGTCAATTTTTGTGGTTTGGAACATTGATATATAAAAGACCCTCACACCCGTGATTGTAAATGTTGTCAGTGTATAATCTAACCCAATGTAAAACATGTGATGCTATGCATCTGTGAACATTGATTTATGATGCTATGTATGGTTTTTTAATATACTCATGTTGTAGGACAATCTTATTATAAATAGGATAAAAGTTAGTTGTTCATAATAGGGTTTCTTGTTGTATAGCCTTTATCACTTTTTCTTCTTTCTTATTTGGATTAGAATTTCTTTTTCTTTCTTGATTATAATATGATTTCTTCTTTATTTTAGATTAAGATTATGTTTCCTTTTAGGATTTTAGTTTTGTTTCCTTATATTGGTAACATTAGGAATTATTTGCCTATATAAACGAAGGCTTTATACATTTCTTATTAATCAATTCGTTATAATCAAATTATTTTGAAACGAATCGAAGACTTGAACTAAAATTAAAACACTTTATTGAAAACATAAGAATCTTTCTTGAAATCAAGAGAGTCAATAACAAAATGTTAAAACTCATAAACCTTCAAAAACTAAAGTGATAACATAAAATTTCAAAACATCCTGTCCCTAAATCCTTAACATAATTTGAACCATTAACCATTGTCATTTGCTCTTCTAATCTTCATCCACCTCGAATCATTGACTAGTTATTACCTATAAGAATAAATTACATAATTCATGTGAGATAATAATCTCAATGAGTAAAATAACGTAACATAAAAATAACAGAAATCCATGAAAATTCGTGAACATATTTGATGAGACACGAAATCATAAGAATTGAACTTCGTGATTCTGATTTCATGCGTAGCGCTACTAAACTCCATGATTTCGTAACATATTCATATTATTGATTTCTGTAAATTTTGAACATTGATAAAAATACTTATACTTCACTTACCTTGAATCTTGAATATGAAAATTGGATTTGCACGTAGAAGAATTGTATTTTCTTCAAAGAATCGTTCACACACACATATATATAAAATTACCATTTTTTAAAAAGGTAACTTTCCTTAATTTATTCTTTCAATTCTGGTAATTATCATATTATATATGTTAACTACCCTTTTTATTTTAGGTATAGTTAAAATAAAAGGAAAGTTTCTTTAATTAATAAAAGGAAGGTTTCCATAATTAATAAAAGGAAAGTTTCCGTAATCCATAAAGGAAGGTTTTCATAAAATGGTAGTTGTCCCTCGACTATGGACGGATGTAAAACTTGACCCCTAAACCTTAGTCTCTATATAAAATGGTCCTTAAACTATGGTTATCAACAATCTAGTCCCTATAATTAGGTTAATGTCAAGTAGGAAATTTCTGGTTATTACATATTCTCTACATATTTTCGAGTTTTTCAACTTTATTCTTGTTTTAAAAATTTCATTTCCGCTTCCGCACCGACTCGAGTATTGAGAACTTGTAATCAGCTAATTTTTTTCTAGTCGCCTTAACTTTTGATGATGGATTGATCTGAAGTAATGTTAATTTTAATGGCCACATCAAGGTTCAGGGAAAATGAATTGAACAAGTTTTAATTATGCTAATGCTCTGGGCATGAACATTCTTTAGTTAACATGCTGCTTTTGGTTTTATTGCAATTTTGATTAAATAGATGCATGCATGCTAAACTGTATAATTTGAATCTTTGTTTGTTAGATTTGTCCAAATAGTCATGGTATAATGAAAAATGCCTATGTAGGACCAGATTTCTATTTTGAGATGTTTTCTGAATTGGGTTATATGTATTTTTTTATGTCGCTCAGGTCTTGGAGTTCCTGGAAATTTGGGTTTTTGAATGTAAAGTGCAATCCGTTGAAATATCAAAAAGCTGTTCAATAGTGTCGATAATTTTTTTAATGGTAAAATTCTGAAGTGGTTAAGAGAAGGGCAAGCCACAGATGGAGTGCAATAGAGACGAGGCCGTGAGAGCAAAAGAGATTGCTGAGAAGAAGTTTCTGGATAAGGACATTAAGGCAGCAAAAAAATTTGCTCTCAAGGCTCAAAATCTGTATCCTGAGCTAGAGGGCATTTCCCAGTTGGTTAGGACATTTGAGGTTTATATTTCTGCCACAGAGAAAATAAATGGTGAATATAACTGGTATACTGTACTTGGTGTGACTCCTTTAGCTGATGATGAGACAGTAAGAAAACAATACAGGAAACTGGCTCTTCTGCTTCATCCTGACAAGAACAAATCTGTTGGGGCAGAAGGGGCATTTAAACTTGTTTCACAAGCCTGGAGTTTGCTGTCTGATAAGTCCAAGAGATTAGAATATGACAAGAAGTATTGTACCACATTCCAGGAGAGGAGTCAGACTAAGAATGCAGGTCCTCCACCAACAAAGCAAAATGGATTTTACAACTTTGCAAAGAATGCAGCTTCAAAAATGAAGGTTCCAAAGGGTAATTCTAGTAAGAGGGATACCTTGTCTTGTCCAGCTCCATCTTGTAAGAAGGAACAGCGTACATTTTGGACTGTCTGTCATCGATGCAAGATGCAGTATGAATATCTTAGGATGTATCTTAACAAACATCTGCTCTGCCCAAATTGCCTTGAGGCCTACTTCGCAACAGAAATTGAGCCACCATCTGCAGGGTTTAATATCAGTAATCCGTCCAATAACAATAACTTGCAACAGGCTCCTTTCTTTGAGTCAAATGGTTCTGCATCTACTGCTCAAGCTGCAAATATGGTGCAACAGGCCTTTGAGAAAGTGAGAAGAGAACGTCAGAAAAAGCAGGCTGCTACTAGAAGGGAGGAGGTCAATCGAAGGAAAAATCATTCCTCTAAAAGAACAATTGATGGCGGATCCTTTGGGCGGTGTAATGCTGTGAAGAGAAGAAAAGGAGTTGAAGATTGTGGTATGAACAAGGATACAGTGAACAAGGTGAATTGCGGTGTTGATGTTAAACAGTTGCTGATAGAGAAGGTTCAAGGTGAAATACATCAGAAGTTGAGTGAACGGACCTCAACTAGTGCTACCAAAACGACATCAGCTCACAAAGCTTATGTAAATAACATACAAAATGAAACGGCAGATGAAAAAGACAACATTGTTACAAATAGTGCCAGATTGGATCAGAATGAGCCAGTCAAGGCTAACAGTCAAATTCCTCTTAATAAACTCAATTTTGGTGCTGATATGGAATCTATTAAGCAAATATCAATTGATGTCCCAGATTCAGATTTTTATGATTTTGATAGAGACAAAATGGTGAGGTGTTTCAGAGATCGCCAGGTGTGGGCTGTGTACGATAGTGATGATGGGATGCCGCGGTGTTATGCCATGATTCGTAAAGTGACTTCTTTAAACCCTTTCGAGGTGCAAATCAGTTGGCTTAATTCAAAAGCCAATAAGTGGTTTGATTCTGGTTTTTCAAAAGCGTGTGGGGTTTTTGGAATAGGCAAACATGGAATTAGAACCTCAACCGACTCATTCTCGCACAAGGTTAAATGGACAAAAGGCACTGATGGGACCATCCGGATACTTCCTCGGAAGGGGGATGTCTGGGCTCTGTACAAGAATTGGTCAGCCGAATGGGATGAACTTACAGAAGACGTAGTAATGCATAAATATGACATGGTGGAAGTACTTGAAGACTATGATGAAGAACTGGGAGTAGTTGTCATTCCCCTAGTTAAAGTTGCTGGGTATAAAGCAATTTTCCATCAGCTTCTGAGCCAAAGGGAGATAGAAAGAATCCCCAGGGAAGAAATGTCTCGGTTTTCTCATCTGGTACCATCCCGCTTTCTCACCGGTCAAGAAGGATTAAATGCTCTCAAGGGTTGTCGGGAATTGGACCCTGCAGCTACTCCTTTGGAACTTCTCCAGATTATATCAGTTACTAAAGAAACCGAGTCCATGAAGAATGAAGAGGAAATTACTGAAATAGTGGATCTAACTGATACTGATGGAAACACCAACATCAACAAGGGGAAAGAAATTTCTTGAAGAATAGGATGGGATGTAATTCGAAAATGAAGGGAAATTAAGTGTGGGAGCATTGTTGGAACCTACTGATAATCGGAGGGTAGAAAATTCATGGGAGATGGGAAAGTATCTAAAGAATTGATAAGGAGTAGGATACCAAAAGAATCCAAGCGCATGTTTGGTGCGGAGTACTAGATATAAATGAACAAGTATTTATTTTAACTTCCTTTTTTTCCCTTAATACTTGTCCAGGACATCTCAATCCCCGTATGCCGAACATGCCATAAGAGTTTAAGATAATCTTCTTTGAGGTGGAGCGTGAAGTCTTTGGTTTTCTGGAAAATGTGATGTTCGAAAGCAGTTCATTCAATAAGTTTTGAAGAACCATTTACTTGTCAGCAATGGTAGGAATATTTTGGTTCGAGATGTACATTTTTTGTGCTCAGTTCATGTTGGAGTTGATAGATATGGATTGAAGGACCATTTTTTTTATTATTATTTTTTTTTTCGAAATATCCTATAGATAGCTGCTATATTTTTCTCTTCAAGTGTCATCATATTTCTTGCTCTTTTACTTTCTGGAGTCGTAATGTTTTTATCAGTGTGTACAATTTCTTGAGACGTGTATTAACACAGTATGTATCTACAGCAGGAGGGATTGATTTAAGTTATTTCCCGGTTCATACTAGATTATAGTTGTAGATGGTGTTAATATTAATGGCCGGGTATTTCCTACTTTTCAATTTTTCCTTTTCTATATGTGAAAATTATGCAAGTGTCGTTTTTATATAGATTCAATTTAAGGTAATACTCTTCAATCATGTTTAAACTAGTGGCTCAACTTGCATGATTAGATTAGAATTACCTATCAATTCTCCTTAAAATGCACATTACATTTGCCAACAAGTATTAGAGCATAAATTTGGATGCTTTTGCGAATGTTATCGTATGACCAATAATCTACTATGTCCATATGATATGCAATATATTTTGACATAATTAACTATAGTAATAAAATTAAGTGAAAAGAGAGCGATGTAAGAGAATTGAGAAACGGAAGAAATTCTTACAAATTTTATTGAAAACCAGGTCTCTATATTTAGAGCATTTTTAATAGACTTTTTATTTTTTAAAAGTACATTTTACAAAAAAAAAAGAGGAAATTGCAATGGACGTCGAAATTTGGCTTTGCATTTATGAAAATATCACAGTTTTAAAGTATGTGGAAAATTGTCATTTTTGGACTTTTTTACCCTTCTAGATAAATTAAATACCTTACATGCCTTCATTAAATGAGATTTGACGATGGATGAGAAATATGCACCAAAAATATGAAAGGTGTCAGGTTTTAAAAAGAAAAGAAAAGCAAAAACAAAAAACCCTAAATTCACTGTACCAAAAAAGAACTAAATCCTTCTCATTCCCCTCTCATTCAAACTATTTTCTTTCTCACACACCATTGTTGTCAACTACCGTCGCCCCAAAAAGAAGACTTACTCAACCTACCAAAAGAGAAGATAACAACCCTTATACTAACTCTTCCTCATTCGATTCGTCGGAACTCCCGAAAGCCATTGACTACCGCCGCCCAAAGAGGAAGAAACCAACCCTGAATTCACTTCCCTCACTCATTCAATTTGATGAAAAAAGAAGATACTCTAAAGTCGCTCCCCTAACCGGAATCTCTGTCCTCTACCACCGTGAAATCCTCCATTTCGTGGAAGATAAGGAAGCAGGTATCTTTGCATCGGAGGTAAGCGGTTTTTGTGTAATGTCTATCGATTATTTTTGAAGTCTTATTGTTCTGAATGTAGTACATTTGGAAAAAATGATTTGTATCGATTTTGGTATCAAATTAATTGAAGTCATTGTGGTTATCTTTTGTTATTGTGTATATGAAAACATAGTTAGAGGAGAAAATGATGGAGATGGGTGGAATAGAGCATTGAAGGATGTAGTTAAGGATTTGAACTTGTGTTAACTAGGGATTTCAAACACCTTGGAAAACTGTTACTCATTTACCGTTAAAGAAAATGTTTCTGTTTAAGTACATAATATACGAATTAGTGATTGATTTGAATCAGATTTTGGATCACTCTATATTAATTGACTGGCTCCATTATGTTGTGTATGGCCTAAATCAGTAGTTCAATTTTTTTGTACATGGAGGATTGATTATTTTTCTTTGTGGGAAAGACGTTAGCGGTTCTCAATGGTTTATCTCAGTAAATTATCTGCATATGGGTGACTTTTGTGCATGTGTTCTGTCGTTTCCGATAGTTAGCTGCATTTGACGGTTAAAATAGGGATAGGCGAACTGTCATTCCCGACAATTAGCCTTGGACAGTCTCGACAGTTGAGTAAATTTGGTACAGGTCAACTGTCGATCCCGACAGTTAGGCGCAGTAATTCTCGACAGATGGCTGCCTTATGAAATAATGTGAAGCACATATATTCCATTTCTTGTTAAATCTTCGTCACATGTCCTTTTA